GAGGGTGCTTGCTCGGGGGGGAGGGGGCGCAGCAGCGCCGAAGGCTCTTGAGGAGGGGCAGAGGAGTCACGAAGTGAAAACCGGGGAGATTCGACTGAAAAATAAAATTGGCGCTTCTAACCGTGAGGCTGCCCAGCTGTTAGAGCTAAGTGGCACCGGTTACCCCCTTTTCCCCAAGCGCGGCTGCCTTCGTGGAAGGGGCGTTTCAGCAGGGCGAGCACGAGTGGAGAGGCATTGCCTTGGTGGTGAAGGAGCCGAGTGCCCTGTCTGACAGCCGGCAAGCGAAGCCGAGGGCCTAACAGGGCAGGAAAACAAACATGTGTCGATTCTTCAGAATTAAATATTGCCACGGGAGTTATTTGCCTACGCTGCTGACAGAGGCGTTGCTGGTTTGTTTGGAGGCAGCTGAGCTAGCTGGAAGCTAACTGGCTTCGTTGCCAAAAAAAAAATAACCACAACGGTTTATGGTGGCTGCATAGTACTATCCATCCACCTGAGTGATTAGTCACCGTCCCAGGCCCGCAGTGCCTTCCGTATTGTTGCGGTTATGTGGCTGTTGATTCCCAGAATGGTGAGTTAAAAACAGTGTTTCTCAACCCCGAGAGGAGCACAGTGCAAGTAACTAAACATTAATGTGTTTCTGTTGAGTAAAAGTACCATAAGCGTTTGTCAACAGAAGGAATTTTGTAGCACTTAAGAAAAACTCGGAGAATAAGTGTCACGGCTAGCTAGCCACAAAATCCGGTTGGGTAAAATTTATACCTCAAACTAAGTTGGCAGTTTGTTTCAATTGCTGAGTAGTCATTGTTATTCCAAGATCAGGAAGGCTATGTAGGAAGACCCACAGGAAGACTGCTTTGAAATGGATTTTAGTTTAGTTTGAAGGGAAGCTCTTTTCCCCAGCATGTCTCTTAATATGTGATTAATCATAAACAATCATGAAAATGAGGGGAAATAAATTATTTCTATTGCTTTAGAGAATGTGAGTGCCACATGGATGATCAAAACAAGTTTGAGTGCTGATGCGTATTTATATTCAAATGTGTGGCATCAGTATAAAGATGATTGCAGAAACACAGCTGTTTTATCTAGAATTGTGCTGCATTACGAGTATCATGGTTCTGTAGAAGGGGTGCTGAGGTTTGACTTGCAGAGATCTCTTGCCCTAGCAACTACTACTGATGTGAATTGCAAGTTTTATTCCCTTGCCTCTTACCACCCCAAAGAAGTCCTCTGCAGCTATGTGGTTTTGGGTCTGAGCCCCTTCTGAACTTTTTAACTGTGACCTAATCTCAGCTGGCCTAACTGCACTTCTTTGTTTTATTTCTTCACCTCTCTGACCTGTGCAGCGGTAGCAGGTCCTGTTTAAATTCTGTACACTTCCTCTTTCCATTTTCTTTTTTTTTGTGTCTCGTTTACATCAGAGAACAGCTGCCAATGATGAGTAAGGGGGTATTGAGAGCAGGAGCAGGTTTTGGCAAAGTTGCCCTTAAGCCAAAATAATAATTTTCTCTA